CCCTAACCCTAAACTCTAGACCCCAAACCCTGAAACAATAAAAGCCCTTGCAAACTTCACCGAGGCCAATCATCCCCCTGCTTGCAGCTGTCGGGCGGACCCGCTCGTTCAGGAAGAGCCGAACGGCTGGCCTCACATTTTAAGTTAGGGCTTAGGGTTTAGGGTGTAGTATAATTTAGTTCTAAACATCGAGCGTCTGCGACTAGAAATCCGAAAGCCTGGATAATGCCCTTCACCCTAAAGCAGGAAAAGTGTATAGATGCATGTACACATACATGTGGACGTGTATGCAGCATGCATGCATGCATGCATGCATGCATGCATGCATGCATGCCACCTTGTGTGCATAGCGCTTTGAGTAAGAATAACAACTGTGATATTGGTGATGATGAGAATGACCTGACATGATACAACCTAATGTTAGGGTTTGGGGTTAGGGTGTAGGGTTAAGGGGTTTAGGGTTTAGGGTTTACTAGTCTTAGGTTTGGGGCTTCCGGCGTTGACGGGTCGCCACTACTTTGAAGCTCACAGGGTGAAAAGACAAGCAACGCCTCAATGAAACCACGAGCCTACCCAAAGCTGCGAGACCTTACTTGGAGGTTCATGGGTAGTGTAAGTGGGGTTCTAAGTCCCCTAATATGGGTAACAAGTATAGTTACCCTGCTGAAACCCCAGTTGTAACTACCCATGAACCTCCAAGTAAGGCTTGATGAGGGTGTATAATGTCAGTTTAGGGTTGCGGAGTTTAAGGGTTTGGAGGCTTAGAGGTTGACGGCACAAGGGGTTTAGGGTTTGGGCCTGAAGCCATACACCCAACAGTTCGAGACATATGGAAACTAAACATCAAACTCTCTGTAGCCTAGGCCCCGAGTCCTCAATCGCAGAAGTTGGGTTTCGATACCGTTGTGGGGCTCGCCTTTCTGCAGGCCAGGCTTGGGGGTTCGGCCTAGCTTGTACTAAGGAGCCCGAGGTTTACAAGAAGCATCAGCCGGACGTCAATGCCAACCCGAATACTCTAGGGGCCTTAATAATCAGAATAGGGTTTTGGGCTCCTCTATTCGTATATTCATAATACGGAATCCTAACAATAATATAGGTAATTATTCATGAGCCCGGATCCTGCTACCCCCGAAGAGCCCAAGAATCATCGCTCAGTCTCCGGCACAACGGCTTTCTTCAAGATGAACGCCTGGGGCATCTCGTCCACAATCAGATCCATCAGCAAGCCTCGGCTTTTTGGGTTGAGCTCCAGAGCTGCCTCAGGGTGTAGCGGGGCCTTTCGAAGCTACCTTTAGGGTTTAGGGTTTAGGGTTTAGGGAACCTTCTGCAAGGTTTTTGAACGTCCATCTCATGGTCCGTTTGCTTCTTCTGTTTCGGAAGGAAACATGAAGTTGTTAAAGCACGTGCATGTTAAAGTAAGTCCCGCATCCCCTAACCCGTAATAACCTTCACCAAAGCCAGGAGTGCGAAGTTAAGAGATTGAGACGTGGGGTTTCTGAGAAATCTTCGACCCCCAAGAAAGGCTTCAGGGTGGAGGTTGCAATAATTACACCCATAGGCCCTAAACCTAAACCCCAAACCCTAACACACAAGCCCCAAACCCCAAACCTTAACCCCCAACCCCAACCCTTCATTCCAGACCCCGACTTCCAAGCCTTCCAATCCTAATCTCCAAAACCGTATACCCTCAAGCCCTGAAGCCTAAACCCTAAACCCCACACCCAAAACCCTAAAACCGCAAAACCCTCAAGCCCTGAATCCTAAATCATAAACCCCGAACCCTAAATGCTAAAACCTGAATCCTAAACCATAAACCCCGAACCCTAAATCCTAAAACCGTACAGCCCTGAAGCCCGAAAGCCTCCACCCCAACCTGAAGCCCCCTAAGCGCTGATACACACCTACCATCCTCTCACTCAAGACTTGACAGTTTAGGGGTTTAGGGTTTAGGGTTTAGGGTTTAGGGTAGAACTAACGGAAACTCAGAAGATGTGAGAACACCCTTATACTCAGAAGATATGAGAGCACCCTTATTTGCAATCCTACCATCGAGTTGGCGCTGTGTCGGTTCGAAATACCTGCCATGCCCGCTCAGAATAGCCAGAAGGTAGGCTTGCGCTTTGGGCTCGATCCCTAATTTAGGAAGCATATTCCCCAAGGTCCCTCCTCCCTAAATCCTGAACCCGACACCCCTGAACCCTAAACCCGAAACTCTTAACTCAAAAGACCTGTTTAACAACCTCTGCATGCACCCTCACCTCAAGCCCTGAACCTAAACGCCCCACGCCCTCCCAAATTTCTATGGAGCTTTAGGGTTTTAGGGTTTAGGGCTTGGGATGCAGGAATCCTTGATTTATGGAGTTTAGGGTTTAGGGCTTAGGGTCCCAGGAATCCTGAATTCAAGGTATCCTGAACCCCAATCCCTAATCCCTCCCTAAACCCTAAACCCTAAACCCTAAACCCTAAACCCTTATAAACCCTAAACCCTAAACCCTAAACCCTAATCCCTAATCCCTCCCACCCTCCCCCACCGAGCCCGGTTTAGCCGCAGTGCGTCTGTCTGCCGGCTGTGTAAAGGCCAGATGCAGAACCAGCTTCGACATGATCGCCTCGGGCGGCTCACAACTATTAGGGTTTATTATGGAATCCTTAAGGGAGGGGTTTAGGGTTTAGGGTTTAGGGCGGGTCACAACTATTAGGGTTTATTATGGAATCCTTACGGGAGGGGTTTAGGGTTTAGGGTTTAGGGCGGGTCACAACTATTAGGGTTTATTATGGAATCCTTAAGGGAGGGGTTCTAAGGGGGGTATATAATCCAATAATCCCCAATTCTCCCTAGTACTCCCTTAGGTTCCCTAAAGCTCCCTAGGACCCTCCCCCCTTGAGCCACCCTCCCCCCGTAAGGATCCTAGAAGTTTAGGGTTCAGGGTTTGGGGCCAGATGAGTAGGGTACACTGCATGTGTATCTATACAAAGACATAGCAAACCTGTAGGGGATGTTCTCAAGCATCCAGACCTCTGTAGTAGATGTTGCCCGTTCTACTTGTAAAGTCGTGAAAATAGGGCTTTGAGCAATGAGAACTCAATCTAACACAAGTGCTTTCCGAAATTGCTTTCTGTAAGTGAGAGCTGTCCGCATGTCTGTTGCTATTGGGGGGATACGACGACGATGGAGTTCTTGGCGAATGCAAAATCAAGACAGCTCCCGAGACCTAGGATGGACGAGCCAGACAACAAATCATTCTACTCCAAGAGGTACTACTGTTGATGGACAAAATCCTGCATGACCCTATATACCTAAACTATGGGGTTGATGGTACTATACAATATTTGGGTCAGGCAGGATTTTGTCCATCAACAGTATGGAGTGAGATTCGACCAAGATCACAGCTGTGATCTGAACCCTAAGCCAGGAACCGGAACAAACCAAGGCATCAAATAATGAGAAGAACTGGGATCCGACTGTGCACTCATGCCCTCGGTGGCTACTACGGGAGGGGGGGGGGGCATAACTTGATAGCCAGAACAGCGTCCTCATAGCAACACGGGAACTATCAGTCATGCCCTAATTTAATTAAGGAATCAAACCTCTACCTAGCCTGCTACTGGAAACAAGAAGAATTCCAGATCAGGGTATCGCGCAAGCCCGCGCGAACCAGGAAGATAACGTTCCGTTTCTTTGTTGCAGTCGTGTTGCGTGTCGCCGCCTTTGTACCTGGCACCGCTTCATTAAACCAAATGAAGGACGAGGGTTTAGGTTGTGCCGTCTTAGGGTTTAGGGTTTAGGGTTTAGAGTTCAGGGTTTAGGGTTTAGGGTTTAGGGTGTAGGGTTTAGGGTTTAGGGTTTAGGGTTTGCGGTTTAGGGGTCCAGAGCATCGATCTGAGCAGTTTATGCAGCTTACATTGAGCCTCCGACTCCACCACGCACCCAGCAGTCCCTTTTCGCAAACTTTCCCGATGATCCTCCGCCCCCGGGTTGGGGGTTTAGGGTCTGGGGTTTGGGGGTTTAGGGTTTAGGGTTTCGGGTTTGGGGTTTTGGGTAAAGAGCCACATATTCCCCGTTACCATGTTCAGCACCCAAACAGCAAAGACTACTAACTAGGCTTTCATCCGGCAGGCTTAGCATAAACATGCGACCCTGTTAACCTTTGGCTTTCTTGCTACTCTCGTTCACAGCCCCGAAGCCCTCAAAGCACAGAACCGTTCTTTGAACGACCGCAACCCGAACTACCTATAGCCTCCATTGTAGTTCATTTTTTGGTTTAACCAATATTATAATAAGGATGTTATAAGGTATCCCCAAAAGGAACTACAATGGAGACTATAGGCATGCATGCCATGTTGCAAACTTCGTATTCCGAAGCTGCGGCAACATCAAGTAGATCCTGAGGTCTCATTCCGGACATACAACTTACTTGGAGGTTCATGGGTAGTTTATTAGTCGGGCTTATGGGGCTCCCTTAAGGGTTCCTTTAAAGGGTTCTATTTGGTTTGGGGTTTAGGGGCAGTTATAAGTGGGGTTATAAGTCTCCAAATATGGGTTATAAGCATAGATAACCTACTTATAACCCCATTTGTAGCTACCCATGAACCTCCAAGTATCATGTAATCTGCCCTTCCACGCTGAAGCAGAGACGGCTCTGCCCACCCCGCTCCAAATCCCAATCCCAAACCCTGAGACCAACACCCCAAATGGGAGTTTCCTAAAAGAAGGGGTACCTGATTTTGGGGGTCCTTATAATAAGGATCCTACTATTTAGGGTACGGTATTAGGGTCCCCTATTTTCGGAAACCGTCAACTGGAAAATCTTCAGATCTTCTAGCCCTAACCCTACAAGGCTTAGTGTTTAGGGTGCAGGGTTGGTGATATTTAGGGGTCATGGGTTATAAAGTACGGTTTGAGTTTGGCTATGCAGAGATAGTCACCAGTGCATACTTCTAGCCCCCCCATTTAGGTTCTAATAAACTTACATAAGATCACACCCTCAGCTAGCCACAGTTGTGAGGTTCGTTCCCGGCATCTTTATGAGGATACTACCTGTGGAGGCTAAATATGATGGAGCCGCTTCGTGTTCATATCTTCTTTAGCTTCATGTCAGAAACTCCCACATCCTATATTATGTAGACTTAGAGATCATTCATCCGAGGTTATGAAGTGTGTTGTATATAAACCATAAGATCCCTAAATCCTAAACCCTGAACCCTAAACCCTAATCTCTAACCCTAAACCCTGAACCCTAAACCCATCGCTGCAAGAAGTTAACGCCTTGACATTAGTGTGCGAGCCGGGAAGCAAAATACTTCTCAGCTGTTCGCCTCAGCATCGCCGTTTCGCAGAGACCCCTAAATTGCCCTGAACCCCAAACACCCTAAACGCTCAACCCTAAACCCCAAACACCCTAAACCCCAAACATCCTAAACCCTAAACCCTACACCCAAACCCTCCTTCCCTAACTCCAGAACTGTAGCCGCCAAAAACTGTCGAACCCTCAATGCTGAAGCCCGAAAACCCCCCAAAAGGATTCGGGGTGGGTTTCGGGTCTCGGGCTTGGGGTTCAGGGGCTTAGGGTTTAGGGGCTTAGGGTTTAGGGCTTGGGGTTTAGGGTTTAGGGATTAGGCTTTAGAGTTTAGGGGTTTAGGATTTAGGGGATCTCAACCCGAAGTCAAAGCTGCAGGATGTGATCGTCACCGGCCACACTGACCAGGGGATCTAGAAAGTAGATCCCCTAATTTGGGACCCTAGCTACTAAAGGGTACTTTTATAGGAACCCCATTCAAGGGATCTACGTTTTAGATCCTCCCGGGCGGGGGTCTGGGATAGGGGTGCTATGAGTGCAGGTGAAGTATCTGAGGCAACTGCCCGCTGTAATATAGAAGCCTGAATAATTACCAACATCATTCTTATTCTGGCTTCAGCGCCCCACGTTTCACCTGAATTCAGCATGATTTTTGGAACGCGCCGTACCGACGGCTCGGACATTCATCACAGAACAGAACAGAACAGAACATCATTCTTAGGGCTCTGATTCTAAGATAGGGCATGATGGGCCCCAAAACCCTCTTCTACTTATCCAGGCCCCTACATCAATAAGCAGGAAAGGGATACTTGCTGCAACCCTATGGATCGACAGAGCCAGTTTCCCTGCCAGGTCTTGGGCCTTGTGGAGATGGTACATGGAGGACCGTCAACAATGGAGTATACGTATATAGACGCAATGCTCCGCCCCTCTCTCTCTCTCTATAATATATATATATATACACACACGGATATATGAGCATATACAGTATATATATATATATATATACGCCACATAGCATACATAGTATATACGGTGTGTATATCTGTATATATATATATATATAGAGAGAGAGAGAGAGCGAGAGTGTGTGTGTACATATATATATATATATATAGATAGTCTTGAACTTCAGGAACACTTCAAACCATTAACTCCTGTCAGCTCCACTTGCTGGACGATGACACGGACACCAGTGGTCCCCCCTCATGCTGCTTTCTTCACTGGGTTGGATTTCGCATCTGGGGTTGTCGTGATTCAACAGAGAGCAAACATAGTAAAGAGCCCTCAAAACCTTATTCTAACTATTAATTAAGGCCCCGAAACCCTAAACCCTTATAGTCGCCCTT